AATACTACACGTGTGGTAGTTTTTATACATGTCGGTTTTGCAAAATTGTCTAAGTTTTTTAATTAGAGGTTTTTGCAGGTTCGCCTATGTTTTGCAAAATGTGGGTTGTATTCTGTTATGGGAGGATTTTATTGGGTTTATATATCGGTCAGTTAAACGGTTAAGGGGAAAATTCTACATATAAATTTTATGCTACTCTGTACATTACACATGTGGGGCAACATGTTCGGAAGTATAATGTTCTTCCAGAGTGGGCAAGAATGGTGGATATATATTGTAATATGTATATATATATGTTATTTGGGGGGAATGCCGTTATTATTTATAATTATAGGTTTTTATGGTCTGAACGAGAATTCGTTACTTTAATGTTATAATAGAGTACATAAATGTAGGTGTATGATTATTCGTTTATGTTTGAAATTTTAATTAAGTTGTTCATATTTCTCTTGTATTGGAAATTGTGTGCCTTTTTAAAGAGTATTCGTGTTTATGGTACATATGGTGTGGCAGTTCCTTATTGTGCACATGTGTTATATATATTATTTTATCATTTTTTTTTTTACATATTTTTGATGCTGGCTTTATCTATCATCAAGTGAGCATCATTAAACAGTCGATCTTCTTGCGAAAATGTAAGGCATATGAAACTATTTCTTAATATATTTTTGATAAATTCTTCGACTTCGTATTTATGATCTGTCAAATATTGATATTCTTGTTGGCCTAGGCCCTTTATGTTATCATACAGCAGTTTTAATATGTAAGTTCGGACGTTTTTGTACTTTACCTTTCTGTAGTTAAATTCGTCGAGTACAAAAGGCCCGCCACTGTCGTCCTGCTGTTCCGACGGATGGTCTCTCAAGCCGTTTTGTTCTAAAAAGTTATCATAGTAGATAGTTACTGAAAAATATTCAATAGGATTTTTAAACTGTGTACGTGTTCTTCTTTGTTTCCTTTTGTCCATTTTTTCCTGTTTATGTTTATGCTTATTTATTTGAGTTACTTCTATGTTGTTGCCGTTTTTTTCTAAGTTACTTTTGGTTGTAGTAGGCGCGACAATAGACTTTTTTTTGTCTAACCATGCGGGGGTTTCGGTTCCAAGGAATTTGAGCTTTCCAAATCTCATGTCTTGTGGAGGATCATCTAATTGGTGTTTTTCACATTCATGTGGGTAAAAGCCATGATCTTCATTTGTGGGGTAGGTTTTATATGGGGAGCCTTTTAGTTTATCTATAAGAGGACAATTTATCATTTCGAATGAATCATCAGAAAATAAATCATCCTCTTCTTCTTCTTGTAGTTGTTCGTATTGTGCTTGTCCAAGTACTTCATCATCGAATTCATAATCACTGATTGGATCGGAGCTATAATTATCCTCCGATATTTTAAATGTGGTTTTTGTTAATGGGGAATATTTTTTTTTCTTCTTTCTATGGCTATCTATTTCGTCCATTAACTCATCAAAACTATCTTCTTCGTTTCTCGAATAGTTGAGCATAACGGCGTCATCGTTGTTTCTATTATTACTCTGATTCGATTGGTAATCATCGGGCCCGTTCTTATGATCACCTGTTGTTGTTACATCTTGGTCTATTATTTCATACAGGGATGTCATAATTTGTGAGGGTTGCGAACCGAACATATCTTGTATGTTCGGTGCATAATCATGTTCTATTAAATGTATCGATGGGTAGGAAGAATCAGGGTTAATGGTCGGCTCATGTTCAGACGATGAGCACAGTATAAATGTACTTGTGAGGAAGAATGGGGTGTAAATACTAATAAGGAGGGAGTGGTAAGAGTAATATTTTCTTTGCGCTTTCATTTTGCAGGATTTATTATTGATACAATAATATTGTGAGTCAAAATAAAATATTATATGGGGGGATATAAATGAATGTATATAATAATTATAAGTTATACTATATTAAAGTTTATAAGGTGTACCTTTCGAAGTTACAAAATGTGTTTTTAGATGCTTTTAATTACGCAAGTGTAAATTCAAATTTAATGAGGCTACATTTGTGTTTTCTATGAGTACTCCATGTGTGTCTGTATCTGTTGCGTACTTAACTTTTTTATGCTAATCCTTTTTTTTTTTGTTGATGAACTTTTTGTAATATAGTGTATAATAAAAATTATATACCTTTGTACAAACGTGTTGTCGAATGTTCATATTCATTTTAAAAACGGAGGGTGTGTCCTACAGAAAAAAAATCAAGAATGAACAAAAACAATCTGGGCACAAATAATTAGCTGTTCAGTCTTAACTATACAGAGAGGGAAGAAAATTACTTCATAAACGCGTGTTTTATAATATTAAATGCATATAAGTAAATTGCGTTATTATATTGGTATCAACATATAACCGTGTTCTTTTCATGTAACCAATTTATTGGGCTTATTTTGATGAATGTGTTTGATGTGTGGGTCTGGTCTTCAAAAATTTTGTGTTTTTTTTTATTCTTAAAAATCACGTATATATTATTTTATTGTCAAACAGGGGTGGTAGCATTTCGTTCTGCACCAAAGTGAATTTTTTTTTTTTTTGAGTATGACATACATATATATTATATTTTCCAAATATTGCATAAAATTGTGTTATAAGTTGTGACACATTTCAAAATTTTGTTTTTTCTTCATGACACAAATGTGGTTATACTTAATACGTATATAAAAAATATTACAAACAAAAACAAACAAATACACATACAGAGATGAGATATATAGAGAGGTGTAGGTTTGATCAGTATTTTTTTTTTTTGCTATAATATACTGTTTAAACATATTTATACGAAACTTCACTCCTGGGGTGGGGGAATATTTTTTTCCTCAACTTTATAATCTGCATGTAAGTGAACTGCATGTGGTCTTATTTTTTATACGCATATATTTTTGATGAGGGTTGTATATATATAATAAATAAAATAAGCGTGCGCGTCGAAAAAATCTTCTGCATTGCTACTGTGTGGTAGGTATATAAATGTACAATATGCTCAAACTGAAACAGTACGTGTACAATTTGTTATAGATGTTGCAATTTTTACAAACACGTGCAGTAAAAAAAAAAAAAAGGAGTGCGTTTTTTCTGCTGTTATTGAAAAAGCGATAAAAAATTAATTGCACATTTTTAAGGGTGAAAATAAGTTATACGTGTACTTTAAATAACATATGTGTGCCTTTTTTGCAAGATTTTTTGAAAATAACAAACATAAAAAGCCAAAAAAGGAAAAGCTAAGTTTTTCTCTTGAGCGGGCTTAAAATGTCGCCAGTAACAAAATATAGGTGGATGAAAATTTCGTGCTCTTCACTTGTTCTTGTGGCTTTATAAAAATAAATGAAGTCAATTAATCAAATCGTGACTGAACGTTTAAAGACGAATGTAGTCCTATACTTTGTGCACTCAGAAAATTATAAAGTAAATCATATGCTTCGAATAGTAATATATATATAGGACACATTCGACAATTCACTTTAATTTGTTGTGGGTGCCATTTACGCCAAAAATATATCGAACAGGGACAGCACGCGGCAGCGGTGGGTGGTGTGGTGTATTGGCGTTTATACAGACCATCTGCTCCTCATGGTTAATTCGTGTTTTTCATTTATCATGGCGGAAAAAAAATGTTTTATGCAGTGTTTCACAGTTGAAGTGTTATAACGTGTGCCGTTCTGTTCTTGGTCTTATTCTTCTACATTATGAGCCCTGTGTGTCTACACATTATTACCGCTTTTCACTTTTGTATATATAGTTGTCTAATTGTACTGTTTATTAGAGGATACATGGCTTGAAAAAGAGAAGGCGCATACACTGTGTGGGTGTGTGGAACATTGATGAATTTGTGTATGCGTAAATATGTATGTTAAATGTTTATGTGTATATATATATGTGCATTCACTGCAAGAGGTAAAACACCTGATCATATACAGTTTACACCCCTTTTTTTAAATGGTTCCTAATTTATGTTTAAAAGAAGTCCTTTGAATGGTTTGTATTTTCTCGCCTTATTATTCATGTTATTTTACTGTGTACGGTGGGGAGTAGTTAAAATATGCGACATGTCACAGCGAAGAAGCAAAATGGCACAATTTAGCTATTTTTAATACATTAACAGTTACCCTCCTTCAACGAATAATGAGGTATGAGTGGTAAAAATATGATCATGGATTGGTACACAATAGTGTACACGCACATCTCATTTGAGTAGACATTACAAATTAAATGCTTTTATACATGCGCATGTATATGCAACATGTGCACCTTGTTATAAGAAGTTCCCACTGCACTTGTGCTCAGAGCAACGTAAAAATAAGAACGTGCACGGAGGGGTAGGGTGAACACCTAACAAATTTGAAGTGTGTCTAAGGAAGTTAGCATTACTATTTATTGTGCTCCTACAAAATATGTAGCAACAAAAAACAAAAAAAAAAAAAAAGACAAAATATGGTATTACATAAAAGCTAGATCGTTTTATCCTTTTTTTGCATATTATTTTAGGAACATATGGTTAGTTTTTTATTTTTATAACACTATTTATAGTAATACAAAATTGTTGGCAAAGGGAAATGTCTTTTTTTTTTTTTTTTTTTTTCTACTGCTTGGAATAAGTATTTACAGATTGACTTTTTTGCTAAGGGCCTTTGGACTTATTTTTAGATGTATAGGCAAACAAGGATAAACAAAGAAAAATAAAATGATAATGCCTAATTTGTAACTTTCTACTAATTAATTCTTGGTAGTCCTAAAATTAGGGCTTTTTATTTTTCAATTTGAAATAATCCTACTTTATTATAAATAGGAAGGTATGTAAAATAATATTTTAATATGGCGGTATACATATAAATGCATTTAATGTGTTCACATATACTAATTATGGAACCCACCGCAATATTGGCGACGTTTTTTAAATTACCCCGTAGAAATTTGCATCCATAGGAACACATGATATATATAGTATGAATAAATACATGTCATATATATGTATATAAGTGTAGCACATATAGGGAATTCTTGCTTGTGACTCTGAAGGAAAAAAGGCCGGTGTCATTTATGCCCTATAAAACAATCTAATTTATATATAGTGCGATAATAGCCTTCCTACAACAGAAAACAAAATCTAGAACCACTTACAGGTATTGTATGCCCCTCTGCGCCCCAACAAACAATAGGTAGAAAAACATGTATCAGTTCACAATAAGTATTCCCCTTGCAACTGCGTCTGCAATTCGTTTTGCAATTTCAAGCCTGTAGTTTATTTTTCCCCATTATGCGCTAATTAAAATAAAAGAATTACAATTTTTTTTACATTCTGTGTCCTCTTTTGAATAAAAAACACAATTTGTATGTTTTAACATTATGAGCAATGGGACCCGTGGGGGGATTTTCCCCCCTTTTTTTTTTTTTTTTTTTTTTTTTTTTTTTTTTTTTTTTAGAAATTTTAGTATATAATTACCATGGCCAAGTAGAAAATATATACCGTGCGCATGACATACAAAAGGTATGTAAATGTATTATTATGCGTTTTTACATGAAAATACTATAGATTAATATCTTCTCTTTTTTGAAGCGCGAAAAAAGAAACTATAGACTCCAATTATAATATTTATAACGACATAAAATATAATTATGTATTATTATTTTAATATGCGCGCTACGCGCAATATATGTATGTACATGCCGGGAAAAAATTATTTATATTTGTTGTACTGCGCGTATTATTTACTACAATGTATTGCCATTTTACCGCGCAATTATACCGGGTAATTTAAAAGTATTCATGTTTGTTTTTTCTTACCTGACTAGTATTTTGTTCATACAACATGATATTTACGGTATTATTATTTATACCATTTAGAATTTATTATTTGTTTTGCAATTATTACCTTTATTTTATTTTTTTTTATTGCACACTGTAAGCTTTTACAGTTAATACAATGTATTTAAAACTATTTTTATATATTGCTTTAGTATTCATTTCTACCTATAGCAAATTATACCTATCCCATTTATTCATCACTTTGTTTTCTAAATTTTTTCTGTTTTTCCTTTTTCTTTTCTTTTTTTTTTTTTTTTTTTCCCTGTTTTTATATTTATTATTTCTTTACAGATATATAAAAGAAAAAAGAATTTAGCGCGAATGCGTATTTTTCTAATTTTTTAAATTCAAAAACACAGAATTAATATTTTTTTTGTTCAATAAATTTATTAATCGCATTATTTATTAAAATTACATATAGTAAAAAAAAAAATAAGGAACAAGCTGCACTGTAAATAATAAAATGAAGCATAAATTACCGATTTTACTTATCATTAACCTTTTCCTCCTCATAACCTTTGGGGATGTGATAAAGGGAGATGATATTATTAATAAAAAAAAGGATATATGGAAATCTAGATTTACTGTAGGAAAGGGAACTCCCCAAAACAATGAAGATTCCAATGATAAGAATAAGGATACAGATAAGGATAACAAGAAAGATAAAGGTAAGCATAGTGAATAATAAATCGTGGCGTTTTAATGAGCTACTACTAGTTTATAGTGGCATGTCGTATGTATGGGCGACATGGGCCGGAAGGTATACGGCATGTAAGCTTATATAAATGCTTAGAGTAATTTGTACGCTTACATTTGTTTTGTATCCATTGCGTTATGTGGTAAAACCACGTGGTTAAGTATGCTTATGTTACTTTTTTTTTTTCGTTGTACTTTAACGTAAAAATTAAACCATTCTATATTTCTATGAAACCGTTTTCGTTAGAACCTGTGACTTGTACGTCTCATATATCTGCGTATAAATACGTTAGGTTGCATAATGTGTTTCATTTTTGTATTCCCTTGTTTTTTTTACTACAACGGCAATTTGTATATGTTTACAACTGTTTACGCACCTTTTGTTTTTTTTTTTTTAAGTTCCAGATGATATCCTAACGAGCAGCAACAATAGGGACGATGTGAACGACTCTCGGAACATAATGCTTTTGAGAGAAATTTACGAAAAGGACAACGAACTAAGTATCATAAAAAGAAAAAAGAAAAAGTATAAAACAGCTACCTTCACCTTGGGAACTCTGCTAACTATAATAGCATTACGTGCCATAGCGGACCTAGCCGTGAAAGGCATTTCCAAGATCTTCCAGAAGGAAGAAAGTTTGCTTAGTGGATTAATTTTTGACAAGTGGAGATTTAACAATTTAAAAAAAAAGAATTTGCTTATTGAGTCACTGGAATGAACGATAGAAGCCTTGGCATGATATAGAGAAGTGGCTCTGATTTAAAATCGAAGTGTGTTTCTTTAAAATTCCCCTTTGAGAGTCCGAAACTGTTGGATCAGCGAAGATGGCGTGGGGGGGATTGTATAAGTAGTGTATAAGGGGGGAAATAGTCGCAACATTCTTAACACATTTTTTTTTTTTTTACTTCCACTCCTGTTGCGATGCTGTACTGGTAACAATTAACACTACACTGTTTCCTATTGTTTTTTTTTTTTTTTTTTTTTTTTTTTTTTACCATGTATAACCCCAATTATTGAAGTGTACATTCCGTTGTGCATAAAAAGAGTATATTAATTTATTCCCCTTTCTATTTAGATTTAGTGCATTAAGAGTATATATATCTATGCATTTATTATCCATATATACTTATACACACATGATCATATGTATATTATGTATGTATATATTTAGGTTTATTCATATATAAATATGTATTTAATCCCGACCTAGCAAATTTAATTATGTTAAAATGAGGATAAACTTTTTGGCAGTATTGATATAAAATCTTTTTTTTTTTTTTTTTATTAATTCAAAGTTATTATTGTAAAAAGAAGATGCTTTGATGTTGCATTTCCTTCCGCATTATGAAATGTGTTTGAACCGTTGTCCCAACGTAGGGCTATTATATAGAGAAAAATTTTAATCGTGGCTGCTATCTATGGGAATGTTAAACAGTTTTTATTGTGTCCTACATGGGTAGGTTTATTTATGCTTACGTGAAATATCGCAGGTCTGTTCTGATATACTTTTCACGCGCATGCAGAATGCTCCCCAATGGACAAAACTTCCCCCTTTTTTTTTTTTTTTATACCTTATGATATATACGTTTTTACCGTATTCTTTTTTTTAAAACAATATGAAGGAGCAGAATGGGTTAGTAATTACAAAGAATAAAGGTGGAAGTTTTTTTCGTTTATTGTAGGGAAAAACCTACTTTTCTATATTACACTTTAAAATAGTGAGTAAGCACATTAAACATTTTAATGGCGAAAATTTAGGTAGTTATTCTTTTTCTTTTTTTTTTTTCTCAACACAGTAAGTGCGTTGTAGGGAGATTACTAGCACATCGGTACTGTGCTTTAGGAGCCGTTGGACAGAAACAGCATTGTTGCGGCATGCTTTTACTACACGTAAGAGTAGGGGGGGGGGGACCCTCTACGCTTACCTCTGTCTAACCTAAGAACATCATTTTTTAAGTGATGGAACAGGTTATTGCAACCGTTTTAAATTGTTATTTTAAGATGGTATTATTTTTGCAACTGACAAAAACATTTTCGATGTTTTAGTCTCGAATTACACAAATGCGATGCATTTACAGTTGACTGAATGTTCAACATGCAGAAAAAAGAAAAAAAAATCATGAGAAAAATTGGAAGCTACACATGGGAGGAAAAACCGTAGACAAAATAAAATCATATATTTTTACTCCTTAAATTATGTGAGCAAAATAAAAATATACATATTCATTACAAAAAAAAGTTGATATAACTATTTTGCAAAAAGTAATAAAATAGGGACAGGGGCAGGGAGGGACACAGCTGAAAAAAGTTCATCTATATAAATTATTGCTATCACACAATGGACGGAAACAGGAAGCCATTGATGGAAGCATTTCTGCTTGGCCAACATTGACTAAAAAGGAATATGGTCACCATAAACATGTAGAAGGGGCGAACTGGTCAGGCCAGACACAAGCCTTAGCGAACACCCATAACAAATGTGCAACATTGCCCTCTATGTAGAGAGATATGTTATACAATTATGGCTTCTTTCCTTAAGCAAGAAGGCATTGGGACATTAGTGTGCATATTTTAGGAAGTTTAAGGAATGTGATTATCCCTTTCCTCCCCCTTTTTAAAAATAGATGGGGTGCAAATAATTAGTACATCCCCAACTGATACGGGAAATATGGGTATTACATGAACACATGTGATATATGCATTCTTTTGGAAAAAATATTTCTCCAATTATTCCCATTTTTGACTATAGATATACACAACATACAGCACACCTTGCATATCAAACACACTTGTTCCTTTTTATTTCCCAATGTTTTGTTTCGTTTCTTCAGATTGGAAAATTCTCTTCCAAATTGGTATATATATATATATATATATATATATACATACCTTTTTTTTTTTCTCCTGGGTACATTGTGTATGACGGAGAAAAAACGTACATGTCTATTTTGAACTTCCTACCCTTTCGTAAGGCGCAAAATTTGGAACACTTTTAATCTATTTAGAACTTTTGGCTGAGTTTTGTGTATAGACCAAGAACATTATCTTCCTAAGCTTCGTCTACGGATTCAAGTTTATCATTAAGGGATAAAAATGTGGAAGCTTGATGGGTTTTTCTATTTTTCAATTTTTTCATTAATTCTGCTCTTTCCATGTTCTCTTGTAGCACCAATTCCTTATATTTTTCTTTAATCCATGTGTTCCATCTGGAGTCATTTACGCATTTGTCAGCGAGCCATTCTACCCATTGATTAATTGAACGTTTTTTTGCATTAATCCATAGGGTCCATTTTTTATATTTATTGTATATAACTCGTTGTTCTTTAATTTTTACCCAATTTTCCCATTCTTGTTTTTCATTAGAAACTCTGTTTTTCCATGTTAGCCATTTTCTCCTCTTATTGAACTGTAACCATTTCCACGTTTCTGTTTGTTCCCACTCAGTCCAGTATTCATCCTCTTGTAGTCTCCATTCAGCCATGAGAAAGTTAAGTATTTTGTTGTTTCTCCATTCTGTCCACTGTTTTATTAGCCATGTATTTAAGTAGGACTCATTATCTCGTATCCAATTTTTCCAATCGCGATAGATAGAATTCTTTACTTCGTGTTTTAATCTTTCTTTCAAATGACTTTGGTCATCATCTTTGAGGTCACTCTTTATAAACGTGCATTGGTGTTCTTTACCTATATTATCTATGTCCATCCATTTATTTTCCATTTTCTTCATCCAGTTTTCTAATTCCTTGTCTTTACTATCAATCCAGTTTTGTCTTTCTTGTTCTATACACAAATTTAAAAATTGCCATTCTTCTTCGACATTGATCATATATTTTTTCCATTCTTGGTTTTTCCATTCCTCTAATTCCTCTTCCGGCATGTCTTCCAGATTTGTCAGAAGTGCTTGATGTTTTTGTACATTTGGTTCAATTGTAGGTGTTTTCATTTGTTCCATTCCTTCTGACATATGCTTCTCATTCTGTTTATCCGTTTCTGCTTCTTTTTCTTTTTTTTCTTTTAAGTTATCCTCCTTATCACTGGCACTGCAATGCTCAACATCAGGCACATCGTCATCTTCTTCTTCATCATCGTGGTCATCGTGGTCACTGTCCTCCGGTTTCGGTTTTGATTCTATGGATTGTGTGTTCGACCTTGTATTAAGGAACTGAAAATTTGAAAGAAGAGAAAGGGGGGGGGGGGGGGGTTGTTATATGTATAGCTCGAAATGGTTGTCCAACAAGCACGCTTTGATTTTCCCAGTAAATTTTTTTTTTTCTTTTCCTAATGGAATTTCCCTCACATTTTAAATATGCCACTTTTATTTAAAGGGTGGCAAAGCCCGCGCAAAGGGGAACACATGTGTACATGTGCAAACGTAAGAACAGTTAAGGCTGCTCGCTCTCTTACCGTGTATATATAATTAATTAAAACGAGAAAAAAGCATAAGGAGACAACATGCCAATTGTACGTACAGTTCCCATCGAATTTTACTGCTGGATTGACACCTTCTAGCTGTTTGCTATTTGGAGAACATATGGCGTCTATAATGCACTTGCTTATATCATAAGCTCCCTCCATAGCTTTTTCTGTTGGTCAGTTTGGGTAGATATACTTTACAAATTCTTAATTTTTAAAAGAGCAATAATACTTATGGGCTCCTTTTTTTCACGTGCATTGCCCATTTCTATATCCCGTTTTTGTGAAAGACGAAGAGGGAATGATGTGATGCTTTCTTTCAGGATAAACAAAACAAAAAAATGTGAAAAATGGAAATACATGTGAAAACGAGGAAAAACTAAAAACCACCAAAAAAGGCAAGATATGAATGGGGAAAAAAACGAATTAGGACAAATAGTTGCACATTGCGCCAACTGTACTCAAAAGCGGCGTGGCAATAATACAATCAAATAGCAACGCGGGGGCATACATCAAATATGCATATATATTAAATATATATTTATATGTAGGCACTTATTTGTGTATATTCATTTTAATCCCTTTCAAGAGCAAAATCACTTCACAAAAAAACAATGCTTCAGTAAAAAAGGAAAAATAATATCGCGCATGTTTTACTGATGTAGTCAACATTAACGCTTTTCTAAGTACAGCGGTCGAAGTTTAATTCGGCCCCTGCATTGTCACTACCCTTCTACTAGACTAAGTAGAAGGAGAAGAAACAAGTTGGAACAAATTGGCTCTGGCTCATCATAAAAAAGTAACCATAACAGAAATATATGTATATATGTACAACATCACAAGCGTATAATAACACTAACAACCCCAAGTACATTTGCGTTAATTTTATGTAAACGCGTTTTTGTATTTTTCTTGCATCACAATAAATAAAAATTCAAAGTCACAAATGCACTTTTACGGCCAAACGAAGTATATTGCAAGAGTTACGAAAAAATTTAATTTTCATGTTTAAACTTTATTAATGGTAAAATGTCTCAGCCGTTGCTGCAAATTAATATGGTGGTCATAATATGAGGCGAATTTAAATTCGCACCACGCTTATTTCTACTGAACCTTTGTGAATCACAGGTTACAAAGATCTATGAATTTAGGCATTGCATGCACGAGATTCAAATTGGTAATATAATATATAATTATTCATAGAATCTTTTATGGATAATCTAATAATCAGGAGGAAAAAAAAAAAAAAAATGACAAAAAGTTGAAATGGCCAAGTAACGAAATGAAGCGTATAACCTAATATATATGAATAAAAGGATATAAGCTTCAGTTTTTATGGTTATTATAATATAAAATAGGCATAGAAAACGTTTGCTCTCTCCTTTCTTTATATATAATGTTCCTTTCTCATTATTTTGTATTTTTTTTTTTTTTTAAATTGTATCATTTCCTAGCGCAGTTCTTTTTATAAATGTCTATATATATTTATACATATGACACAGTGATAATTACTAAGGGTGCCACCCAAAAAAGAGTATATTTGGATAGACTAGGTGAAGATGAATACAAAAATAGAAAACCAGAAAAGGCAGAACAAAAACGCACGCTTGTATACTGGATGGAGATACGTCCGAAGGTGGCATTTTATGGCTTCCCTTATGCGATATATTATTTAATTGTTGTTTAAAATGGTTGGACTTCAGCCCCGACAAACACAGGCGGCATTAATCATTCAAATGTATTCATATTAATATGATCCCGTGCGCCCTTTGATGTGCCACCAAAAAGTTGCAGCCGATTTTTGCCGTGTTTTGCATTTTTATAATAATTTCTGTGGTAAGCACAGAGAAGACGAATCTTTTTCATATGAAAAGGGACGAAAATCGATAAATAAATTTATTATATAAATTGCGTGTCACCCAATTATAGTAAAATAAAAAAAAAAAAATGTATTGGCATAATCATAATTCCTGCATCGTTGAAAACAGCAACTTATGTTTAAATGTTGGGTTGCGAATATATAGATCAGAATTAGAGAAGGTATAAAGATATAGGTACATAATATATATATATATATGTACTTATATAATATGCTCGTTCTGAACCCTTTTTTTGTTATAACATTTTTTTCCTCTATTGAGAAATTTGTAACCCGCGCAGCTGTTTATCAAATAAATGTTCTTCACAAAAAGCAAAAAGGTCTGTGCTCACTAAACACGCATGTTTTTTTTGTCTGTTAGATTATTTAAACCCTTTAATAAGAAGTGGTAGACATAATATATGTCTTCTTACGTGGTGTAAGCAGATCATAAGTGGGTAATAATAAGTATAATTCCTTCTTTTTCTTTTTTTTCCTTTTCTTTCTCTTTCTCTTTTCCCTCTTTCGGTTGCGCTGCTTGTTCTAATTCAACAATTTCGTAGTCTTTCTTGTCCCTACTTAGCAAGCTTTTTAAATCGTACTGTGGGAACATTTTTAACTGACCCCTAAGCATTCTTTTATCATTCCATTCTTGTTCTTCCTTCTGTTGAGTTGCAGAAGTCATGTGTTCATTTTTTGTGCTTTCATATTTCAAAATGTTTTTTACATTGGTTCTTAAAGCGCTTCGCAATTCGTTGTAAAAATCAATGTTATTTTGTGTATAATCATCTTGTTTGTCTTTCTTCTTTTCTTGCCGTCCCTTGACATAATTTGGTTTAAGAGCAACCTCTTGGTTTTTCATCCTTACACCTGACTTTGAGAAGTCTCTTGAGAAGGGTACTTTCCTTGTTGCAGGATGTGGATCGGATAAGGAAGCTATATACAGAAGAATTAGAGAAGCATTTTTGTAGCTTTTTAGAAAATATATCTTTTACACATTTGTATGAACATACATGTGTTTTCCTTTTTTTTGTGTTTTTTTTTTTCTCTCTAAAGGGTGAAAACAAATAATATATTCATTTAGGTATTAACTGATAAAACTTTTTTTTTCTCTCTGCCTGAGGAGGGTTAAAATAGAAAGGAACGCTATGCTCGATTTTAACATCATTGTGTGTGGGCAAGTTAACTGTTTACACAATATGGCCTACACAATTGAGAGACAAGGAAATTAGAGTTTAATGTGTATATTCTTAGCAAGTCAATACACTTGGATTATGTGAAGCGCATTGTGTGCAAAGATATGTTTCTAATATTATGATCAATTTTGTTTATCAGTGATAATCTTACCATATGAAGTGTTTCTTTAAAGAAGGTTGCTATGGTTAGCTCATTTGTTCATTTATTAAGAGTGTGGGTGTACATATATAAATGTGCTCATGTATATACATTTACATGTGAGAACTTTTGAGGATGATCGCTGGTGATAATGTTATACATATAGAAACGTAGAATGTACCTCTATGAATACAGAGCACAAATGTGTTCCTAACATATACATAGATTTACCTTGGGGTGGTTACATTAACGGGTTGCTACATATATCCTCATTTTCAAGTTGACACAGAATGGTTCTTTTTTTTTGTTTTTTTTTGTTACCAGGAATAATTAAAAAGAACTTGTGAAATATGTTTTTCTCATAAGAAAAAGCATATATTTTAAGTGACGTGAGAATGCATTTAATAACTTATAAAAATTTGAGTAGCTTTCATTTTATTTTATTTTTTTGCGTGATGTCGATTTGTGCGCACAGTGTTCTACCTCACCTTGTTGCAAGTAGCATTTTCAGTTGGTTCTCTTGTTATGCTCATGCAGACGTATATATTGTGTAGGTATAAACAGGAATATATATGTGTGTATAAAAGCACAATTTTCCCCTGGACAGGACCTCTAACTAACGGTGTGTATATGCGTGTGTTCGCACACAAGAATGATTTCTTTCATAAGGACTTACCACATATGACATATAAATATATATATTTATTTATTTAGTGAATGTAGTAAAATATAATCATATTGTACGACGGGTAATTAGACGAAAAAAAAAAGCTCGTAATTTTATAGCAATACAAATTTGTTCTAGTGGTTTCTACTATGCTCATGCGATTTAATATATGTACTTATACGTGGGGATAAATGAACAGCAAATTTACACCTTCAATTATTTTAAGCACTAATCTATTAGTGTGGGAAGCGGATCTGTGTGAAGATTAACAGGAATAATATATTGTAGGAACAAATTTGAAAATGGCTTTTTATCGATGGTCCCCTAACATTGGGAATTTGTGTTTTTTGTTTTTGTGTTTGCACTATTGTATTAATTGGTCAGTAAAAATTTATTATATATTTATAACAAAATAAATGTTTTCCTTTTTTTTTTTTTGTACAAATATTAATGGATATCTGTTGCTTCTCACTTAGGGAGGATTCTATTTCTCAGTTGACTCCTTTGCCTAGCGGGACAGGGCATTATCAAATCTTTATTTTAAAATGTACATTGTATTTGTGGGAAAATTAGGCCGGTTACAAAGTTGTATAAAAATAAATATGCCTTGTATTTTTTGTGCACTAATTTATTTTGTGTAAAGATTTGATTACACATAACAATAAATCGGTCACTAAAGTTGATTTAGAACTACAGACCTCTCAATTGATGGTGAGAAAAGCAAAATGGAAAAACAAGCAAATATTGCAAAAAGGAAAAAGGAAAAAAATGAAAAAATAAAAGGATCAAAATAGCCAATGTGCTTGAATGTCCATTTAGTAAATCCATGTTGGAACCAAATTGAGGAGATCTGCAGGCAAATATTCAAATGCATATGTAACGTATGGACCACACATGTGAAGCAGATTATATATAAATTAAATGAGAATTACAGTTTATTTGCTGTTTCACTTACTCATTTGTATGTATGAAGCTTTGGCGGGACCATTAAATTGTTAGGAACACCTGTAGAAGTAATGGCCTCTACTTTTACATGGCACGCAATTTTCTACATATTTATGATACAAGCTTGGTTGAAAGTGATTTGCGCTGCGAATTATTCAAAATGAAAAAGCGGAAATTATATTTTGAGTCAATATGTGCTAAAAATATATATGTAGTAAATATATATATATTTTTTGTACACATGCGCATAAACCCTTGACAGCGGAACGCAAGCCCAAAGTCCGCTTTCTCAACAGCGGTAGCTCTACTTAAGAACTGTTCTACAAATGGTCCCGCGGACTTGGTGGTAAATATGATTTCATTACATAAATTATTTATTAGAACAAATTAAATAGAAAAATCAATTTTTATACAACCATTTTTGACATTCCTTTTTTTGCGCTAAATTCGTTAACATATTATATAGCACGTTGCATTACCATGTTAGAATTTTTTTTTTTTTTCATGCCCTTTGGGTCGAAAGAAAAATCATAAATTAAAAAAAAAAAAAAAAAGAAAAAGAAAAAAGCTGTTCTTGGGCATCCTATTTAATAAGTTGAGTTTAGGCTTTATAAACTGGTTGCATAATTTTTTAGTTATAATAAATTGTTTTTTATGATATAAACTTAAGATAGTACATTTAATTTAATGTAAACGTACCTATTAAAACATGCCCATCCTAACGTTTTAATTTGAGAAGTCATATAAATGAACACGAGCTGTTTTTTCGGTTTGAAACATCTGACATTTGTTGATTTAATTTTTTCCCTTTGTTTTTGATTGAGAGTGTTCATGCTATTATGAAGAAATTGTGTCGTTAGGCAAAAGTACATACAAATATATGCAAATTAGGCAAATATATAATTACGTATAAATGGACAGCTGATTCATATATTTGTTCACTTTTTATGTACAAGTATTTTTATTCTGTTCTTCATTTATATGGACAAATTAAGGGGTTAAAGCTCTCTGTCGGAATTTTGTTATGTCGTGGCTTTCAGATATGACAAGAGAAATATGGAATATTTTAACCATGGAATATTTTCTTCATCAAGAAGACAGCTATGTGGAAGGGAAACCAGCGTCAGGAATTCTTGCAGATCTAAGGCTTATACACAAACAAAAAAAAGTCCAAGAAGAAATGTGCTGACACATTTTCTATCACCTAAGCTATGGGCCGTGTCATCAGTCGTTGTGATTTGTGTCATATTGCAGGTAATGAAACGACCTACTGCACATCCTTTTATTGTGTGTCCATCTGAATAAAGTATATTACTATCCTGTGCGCCTTTGTTTTTTTCTTCTGCTGCACATGTGTGCTGCTTCGAACGTCTGCCGCTATGGACATGTGGTGTTTTAATTTCCCAAATTTGAAGCTGCCCTTTTAACGTTAAAAGGACATGTAATCATTCCCCTTTTGGTGTTCCTTTGGTCAGGTTTTCCATTTATGCAACGATAATGGAGACGTAGGATGCGGATTAAATTTTGGAAATATCGAGGGAAGAAATTTATCACAAAATAATGCGCATAATCGACCAGGAGACAAAGGTAGGCTTGGGGGAAGAATGCCAAATATCAGGGAATCATTTTTAAATTCGTTTCAGCCGGAAGCAAGACAAGAAAGTGGTCGTTGCAGATATGAAGAAATAGAAACGATTTTAGGTGGGTCCGATGATTCCAATGAAAGTGATAATAAGCCTTATCATGTTTCAATTCCTGATGATGAATCAGAAGAAGTGTCCGAAGACGAATGGGAAGTAGAATCAGAAGCAGGTCAATCTGGACGGTCAGAGGATGAGTTTGAATATTCTGATGAAGAAGAGGATGACGATGACGATGATTATGAGGAAATTGAGTTGTTAAAGCGAGTAAAGAGCTTTTTTAATTTTGGAAAGTCAAGGAAACAGGACGATGCTGATCTTATACGTTTCGACGCTGATGAATCGCTTTCTGAAGATTCAGATACAGAGTCTGAATCGAGAAAAATGTTAACTGAAGAAGAATTATATAGAAAGCTTAAAAGATTAAAGGGCAATTTGGGCGATGCTGAAATGCTTTATTTATGGAATAGCTTCCTACAAATTGAGACTAATAAATTTGAGGTTATGCAAAAATATCTATGGGAGTGGTGCGAATTATTAGCCTTTGAATATAAAATTCCAGAAGATATTTTATTAGCGGTATGGAAAAGAATTGTTGATTTTTCATCGGATGAACTACTGGAAAAGACTGTTATGGATAACAGAGATTTTAAACAGTTCGTTAATGATGGATTAAAGGATAATATGGATTTTTTTTACTTTCTGAATTCTAAAAGAGAAAAGTGGGCCAGTTTTCGATCCAGGATAGAAACTGTGTGGAAAAACACGATAGAAAACCAATTTATAAATTATTATAAATAAATGAGTAAGACTAAAGCTCAACACGTTCCGACTGTAATAACTACAGCAATGTGTTATGTGTAGAAACTGTTGTAATGGAAGACCAAGGAATTCTTAAAAATATGATGAGTTCAGACACATTTGAACAGCAAGTCAAAGAAGTCTTGCCATCCGTAGACACAATAGCCAATAGACGGGTATCTATTATGTGTGTTTATAATCATTTCTACAGTAGTGTGATAAATTAGATGAGAGAATTATTGCCGACTGAGAAACTTTATGCATGAATTATTATGCTCTTTGCTGAACGGTTTGCACTAGAATAATGCATGTACAGGTAGCCCATTTGAAGTCCTCCAAGGCGGAGCAAATACTACTCGTGCCCCATCCTACCGTTATCATGTAATGTTTTGTATTGCAAAGACCTTTTTATTGTAAAAGACAAAAGGAAAAAGACATCGTGTCTTTGTTTCTATTGTTCTATTGTGTTTATGTTTTATTGCTTCACTATATTCTATTTTTTTATTTGTTCTGTAATATTATGTCTATTATGAAACCACGGTACATATTTGAAATATATTTTTTATACGTCATATAAATTTTATTTTTAATTTTCTAATTTGTTTGTTATCCCGCTGTGTTCATATTACTTTCACAAAATACATATATATATAATATGTATTGCAGCCTTCCATCGCAAGTTTTTCTTAAGTTCCGTGGATAAATTCTAAATTTATCTGGTGCATAATTCTTGTTAAAACTTTCTTCCCATGGTAAGAAAGAATTTATATAAGTATTAAGAGCACGAGATAACCATCAAAAAATTTTAATTACGTTTACGAGGTTATTAAACATATACGCAGTTTTATTTAATTTGAGTCTGTTCTTATAAATCTTCACAGTATTTAAATGTAAGTTTGTCTTTGCGAGAAAACGCCGCGGAAAGAAGCTAGCAGCATGGCATAATTTTATTCTATTCTTCAAATATATATATATTACGTTTGTATTTATGAACATTTGTCGCGTAACGTATAACCCACTATTTATTTTGTGGAAGAAAATATTGTTAGCCTGCGGGTAAACCAATTTACATAAGATAGCATTTAAAAAAGTAACTTTTAAAAAAAGAGAAATACAATGTTAACACTAATTTTGTTTTTCGTTTAATTTTTTCCCTTTATAAATCTTTATCATAAATTAGACATTGTACCAGTTTTAATTTTTAAATACTATATTTAAGCGAATATATTTTTTTTTTTGTAATAATTTAGATGGAAGAAAAAAACAATATATGTTGTAGGTATAGTTTATATGTACGGGTAAAATTAAACATTGCTTTTATGGACATATTATTTTTAGAGTAGTAAAAAGCATCCCTCTTAAAAAACAATTATAGGATGGAAAAAAAACCTTATAATAACAGAGAACATATTTTAACATGGCACGTGAATAATCAGCAAGTATATCACGGTGGAGAGTCTACACGTGTGAAACCATCAGTAACAAGGTACAGTAACAGAGAAAAAAAGAATACTTTTGTGTTGAATAAAATATTTACCCTTGCCGCATTGGTATGGACGTATCAATTTTTTAATGAGGTAGGGACATGGGGACGCCATTAGGTTGTGATGTTCCGTTTGGCTGTACGTATATCGCACGTAGATGGCTAAGGGGATAGACTGATAAGCGAATGAGAGCGAGGGTTCACGTGTATAACTGAATGCATATATATATGTATTCTCTTTTTCATGTGTGTGCTCACGGATGCGATGTGATGACTGTTCTATATGGGTGCTCCGTCAAAAAGACATAAATGTCTTATTAATGAAAACTCATTTTGCACGGTCCTTCTGTCAGGAGTCATTTGAACAATGTGGCTACAAGATAAGACCCAGGGATGGTAGCAGTGACATAATTGATTTAAGGACCAACAGATCCCTGTATGAGGGTACTCCGTTCCAAACATTAAAAGATGATTTAACAAAAGACGACGCAACAGAAGATAATGTAATAAATGCAGATTTAATGGACAGTTGTTTAATTAATAATGACATACGGAAGGAACATATAAAAAGCAGTTTAAGTGATGCAACCAATGAATATGTTAATAGCGAAAAAGAGAAAATTAAATCGATTTTATATTCATATATGGAAAAAATTGATGCTAAGCATAAAGATAAATTATATTATAAATTGTTTAGAAAATGCCGAGAAGAAAATGATGAGAATTCTATGAGTTCTTTTTAGAATCCTTTTTTAAAGAAACGTGTACCCGGGTGGGCAAAAAAATGCTTTTAACGAGAATTGTCTTAAACATATTTATAATTTACATTTACACACAATGTTGCAATTTTGCAAATGTTGAAAAAGAGGAGAAGCAGCAGTACTTTTGTTTTTTTCATATTTGTGAACATATTTTATGGATAATGTTTTGACGATACAAGCAAAAAGAATATTCTCTTGTTATAAGACATGTAAACATATTTTTATAAATATGTTAGAAGCAATCATGTGTAGCATCACCGTTTCATAGCATACGTTATGCGCGTATTAATTGATACATTGAAGAATATGTTGAGTTTTTCCACAACCCAATATATTTTTATAGTGTAAACAAGAAAAAAAAAAAATGTCATTATTTTATTTTTTTGTGTCAAAAAATTTTCTGTATTGCTTTTTCACATTTTTTAAAATTTAATTTTTTTTTTTCTCACGCTTGATTATAATACTCGTAATGCTTAAAACGGGTTTTGTGATCTTTTATTTATAATTTTTTTAGTTACTCCTTAATCTGTCTGTCATACTATTTCATTATAACAGTATTTATCTTTTTTATTTTTTCAGTTACTTATTTTTTCTTTTTTGAAATATGCCAGTAGCACCTTTTAAGCTATGTCTTGTTTTATCTTTTAATTTGTTTAACAACTTATTTCTATGAAATATAAATAATTTAAAAAGGTACAAATGGGACATGCTACCACAGATGTTCTGACGTTTTGGAAGATTCTATTTAAATTTTTTTGGCGTTTCAAGGGAATTAGTTTTTCCCGTGTAATTTGTTTTTACTGAATGGATTATATGCAATAAGCTTTCGTCAGAATTGCTTTATCCATGTAATTTGTGTGGCTCCCTTATAGGATAAATTAAAACAAAGCACGTCTACCAAGTACTACAACTGCACAAATACATATGGTTCCTGTTCCTTCGCTGTACATTTGAAGACAGAAACATGTGCACTGTATATGTTTGCATGTATATGCATCCCAAATATCACCATCCGGTAACACTACGCGAAGTGAATAATCGCCCAATTCTTGCCTTATGCCTTTAACATATAAGAAATCCTTAAATGGGATTTTTTTTTCTTGCTTATATATGTTGTTGCATGTGGATACAGGAAGCTTAACAAGGTGTGCATATTTTGTTTAAATCGCTATTTACCTTTTATAATAATTAAATATAAAATATGATATTATATTATAAAAAGTACAAGTAGTTTTTTTAGTATGCAATGAAACTAGAAACTAAAACAACACACATGGAATTTAGTAAAAGGGGGAATAAGTCAAATAGTTTATATATAAATATTCTGCATATGTATGCATATACATGTGCTTAATATACACAATCTATACAAACATGCAGATAAATCTTCATACATATATAATGGATATTTAAAATATCTATGAACAAAATATGTTAACAGAAATGTTAAAAAATGGAAATAAATAAAGAAGGCTATAAATTATTGTTAATACATATATACATATTCCTCGTTCAAAGTAAAGCTAAAATGGAAAAATAAGAAAAATATATTATATTGAATAACACTTGGGAATAATATTGATATAATACTTCTACAATGGAGATATACTATCATATCCAATAAATGATTTGCAGGAATCGTATTATTCATTCTGCACAAATTACTGATTATATATGAACCATATGAAAATAGAAAAGCTCGTCATATTAGTACAAATGTGTTATCTAATTTTGTTTACAACTAAAATAAGAATGCGTTTTTAATTGTCATAATCATGGAATAAGGAAGCAAAATATGCGTAGTATCTATGTTCCGTAATGCCTTCTGTAGGAAAGCGGTGGCTTTGGACCCTATCTGTAATTCCTCAATTTTTCTATGTGTGTATATCTATAATAAAATGTGGTTATTTTTTCTAATTGGGGAACCGTGATTATGTGCATGATGTGCACTTTAGAAAATCATAATATTTGTAATCCCACAAAATCAAGTTTCTTGTGTTAGCTCTTTTCTTATACATCTACATTCTTAGTTTCCCAGTACACCTTGAATTTGTTTGTTAAATAACTTTTCCAATATTTTTCCATTTCTTTGGTACAACTAGTCCATATTCCTACTAATTCATTTAAGAATTCAACAAAAGCTACGTGGGAGCTGTTTCCATTTTGAACGAATGTGCATAACTTGTTGTAGGACTTTTTTTCGTTATGCAATAATTGTTCTGTCATTCCGTGGTAAGATTTGGCCCATTGTCTAGTTTTATAGTGGTGTGGGATTTTGTAATATTGGGCTAAAGTTTCACACATTCTAACAACTCCTAATTGCATTTTAATATATTTATTTTTTTCATTATTGTTCACAAAGTTAAATAGTAAAAACATGTCATCGACCTTTACGTAATCTTGTAATTCATCAATCATTTGGGCAATTTCGGATTCGGTAACATGAAAATTAATATCTGTTGAGTTAGTTGTATCCAATTCTTTTACATCAGAAACTGGTGGCATATTTTTGTTTTCACTTGGTCTTTTATTCATGCCACTTTCCACATCCGTACTCTTTTCTTTTTCTCTTTTTCCCTCATCCCTGTCTACTTCTTCGTCCATATCTCCGCCTGTTCCTTTTCTTCTTCTTTCCAATTCTAGAGCCATATCTCCTCTAGGCAATATTCTACCTACTTCTCGCCCCAGTTTTACTGGCATTTCTGGTTCTTGTTTATTTCCATGGTCCAATTCCTGTCTTGCATTTTCTCTTCCTGGGCCCATGTCATCCCTATGTCTTCCTGGGCCCATTTCATATCTATCTCTTCCTGGGCCCATTTCATCTCTATCTCTTCCTCGGCCGATTTCCTCTCTATCTCTTCCTGGGCCCATTTCATATCTATCTCTTCCTGGGCCCATGTCATCCCTATCTCTTCCTCGGCCGATTTCGTCTCTATCTCTTCCTGGGCCCATTGCATCCCTACGTGTTCTTGTGTCCATTTCTTCCCTATATCTTCTTCTGCCCATTTCGTCTATGTCCCTGCCTAGGTACATTTCTCTTCCTCTTTCGTACATGTAATCACCGTCGTCTCTATTCATGTCTCTACCTTTATCTCTTCTCCTTCTATTATATCTTTCCATTTCCTCGTCCATTTCTCCTCTGTTTCTGTTTCTTCTTCTGTCTGCTCTTTCCATATCCATTTCCTCATCTACATCATCTCTGTATCTACTTCTTCTCCTATCGTGTTCCACATCTCTATGCATACCCATATTCATGTCTCTATTTCTTGGATGATGTAAGCCTCTCTCTCCATCCCATTCCTCATGAGATGACATTTTAATTCTGGATTCCCTGCCACGATGTGCCATTCCATCCTCACGCATGTTGTGAAATTGTTCGTCTGGAAAACAATATCTGTCATTTCTTTTGCATTTATTATCCTTATATCCCTTTGAATAATCTTTCATTTCAGACAACTGCCTGGATGCATTACGCCTTAATGCAGCTTCATTTGCATATGTACACTCATTCTGCAAGGAGAATTTAGGAAATAGAAATGTAGCAAAATATAGTTGATTGATCTAGGACGATATATATATATATATGATACTTCATAGGCAGGGGCGAAAACGTGAATTGAGAATATGGAAAAAAGGGAAAATAACAGCTAAATTAGGACAAAACAATATACACCGTAAGTGTTACATACGCTTTTGTTTCAACCTGTTACCTTTAGTACAGCACATAGTATGATTAGTAAGAGGGCACTCATAACGCGAGATGGCATGAAGTTTCTTCCATTGTTTCCGTTACATTTATTTCTTATTCTCTTTGTATCATCAGGAACATAACTCTGGGAGTTGTTCTTATAGGTATACTTAGATTTCCCTGCTAGTGCGACTGTCTTTTTGTGAGAATTTAGCATTTTAAGATATATATATATATATATTAAGGAAAAAACAAAAAAGAAAAAAGGAAGAGGATTAATGATAATATATATATAAATGCTAAGTTATTTTCTATGTTCCTAATTATCTAAAACAAAATATAAAATCCTTACTCTTTTCTCATATTAATACAATAAATCAAATGAGAACAGTAACAAGGGGAAGAAAAAAATAATATCCAATATATGTATATATTCTATTTAAATTGTAATTCAAGTATGTTCCCTTAGTAATTATTAATAAAGGAATATATTAAATTCATATTATATATGAATTTAATTAAAAAACAGATACAATAAAAAACATGGTACATTTTATTATTATAATAATTTTGTATGGGAAAAAATATAAATAAAAAGTATACTACTCCTATATGTTTATGTTCCTTTTAATATATGAGAAGAAAATAAAATATAGCAGTATAAAATAAAAATAATTATGAATGTTGAAGGGCCCAGGGTACATACGTATTAAGGAAACATTTTACACTTTTGAAAAATATTTTTATCCTTACTTTTTTAGCGTACCCCTAAAAAGAATATATTAAAAAAATGGAGGCAACTTAGTTTTGCAGAAATTATTTATAGCATATAAAAAAATATATACATATATTTTGGTTTGGGGCGGGGTGTTCCCTTTATATATTTCCTAACCATTTTACTTTAACATGAATATAGAACGTTTTATTTAACTTAAGTATTGATTTGTTTAAATTGGTTCTTACAGAAAAACTGTTTATATAGATATATGACGAGTTATACATTTTACGATTTTGCTCTATGTATGTACCTTTATCATTACATTATGGTATCGCTCCTTATGGCATTTATGTTTTTAAGTATTATTCCCTTGCATTGTTTCAATTTTACTATTTATTCTTTCTGTTGGTCTAGGATTTCACGATTAAAAGGAAATATATTTGTACAAAAGTCGCAGGCCCTTAGTGTTTTTACAAGAACAAAAAAATGCTTGCAAATGTAAATTGCTAAAAGCATAATTAATATTTAGGAATTTAAAAGACGGTGTTTTTCTTTTTTTCTTTTTTTTTTATGGACATAAAGAACATTTAGGTTGCAAAGGAATCTTGATTCTATTCTTTTTTTTTGGATTCACTGAAAGAAGGAATAGATTGAATTAAAATTTAACGTTAAGAAGAAATTACGGGACATTAGGAAAACCTAACAAAAATGCGAAAACTTTATTTCTTTTTAAGTATATAAATTACGAGTTTTATTTATTTTAATTTTCATATATTGAATTCATAATTGTATCAACAATTTAGTGAAAGAAAAAAAAAGTACACACAATGTGTACATAAAATTGCGCATGACTTATTCTACAAATAATAATTTCATTTTACGATTTGTTCTTTTATAAATTCAGTAGTTATCATTAAAATTAAAAGCATTTGTCTTGTTCTCAAGTAAATATAATAAATAAAATATTGTCGTGTAAGCATGTTTGTGTACACTTATATACGTGTGTACAATAAATATTAATAATAGGATTCGTGAATTGTGCAAATGGTAATATTATACTACACATGATAAAAGAAAAGAGTCCAAAGTAATTACCTTTTTCTTACATAAATGCAAAGGGAAAGAAAAAAGAAAATATATGTAATGTTAATGGCTAAATGCATGTAATGAAGAATGTAGCTTGAGAAGAAATTATAAAATCATGTTCATTTGTGTCTTTTTATAAATGCGTATATGTGCAATGCGTTATAAGATAAATGGAGAGTAAACAGAATAAGGGAACAAGCGCACATAATAGGCATATTTTTTGTTTTTACCATATATTAAATAATAATATTTTGTAATTTAGATGATTACAAAATGGACATAGAAATATGGATTATAGCTAAAGAGAAAAGTGAACTTTGTAGAATACACTAATATTTTTTTTATAGTTCATTTTTAAGGAGTTGTATATTCATAGACATGGATAGAGGTGTACAATAAAACAGTAGAGTTAGACGTGGATGCTTCTAGGTTAAGCCATATGCAATACTTAAGTTTGCAGAAAAAGGTTATTATAAAATTTAAGTGAAAGGTGGTTCGAATTTCTGTTGGAAAAAACATGAAATTTACGTCGTTTATTCATAGAACTCCTTTAAGTTTCATAGAACACAAATTTTTATTTTCAAAATAATTCCGAGAATTCTACGTATTATGTATAAGCAGGGAGCACATATTATTATATACCTTATATGTACATTACTAAGTGTTCATATTTATGTAACATAAAAATAGCTCACCCCAGCGATCAGTAAAGAATCGGAAACATATATACATTGTTGTGGGACATAAATTAACACAAAGAAAAAAAATGAAAGAAGGGTCAGAATAAATAATGACATTATGTAGTTATTTACATTTTATCAGTGCATTCCTGGGGTAGTTTGTACTATATATATAATTATGTTATAATTTAAGCCATTCTTTCCATTGCCTTTCATTTATCAGTTTGTTAGTAAATATTTGCACCCATTTACTATATATAAATCGTTTGTCCCTTTTCCATTTATTCCATTTATTCCATGTAGTATTTATATATATATTTTCTTTGGAGCGCACCCATGCGTCCCACTCTTCCCTGTCTCTGTGGAAGCGCTGTTTCCAGTTGTTCCATTTTGTTCTTTTTTTTCATTGTATTATGTTTGTAATTTTGTAATGTTCATAATTTGACCAGGAAGCCTCTTTTTGGAGTCTGCAGTCACTCATTGACCATTGCATAATGTGCGAGTTTGTCCACAGTATCCATTCATTTACAACCCAATCGTTTGGATGTGCTTCCTTCTGAGCAAGTCATATTTTCCATGGTTGTTCCATAATTTGCTGTCCTTCTGTTGTTATCCATTCTTCCCACTGTTGGTCATCCCAGTGTACAGATTGTTCCAGAATGTTGATTTAGTATTCGGCGTCCATTTTTTTGTTATAGTGAATCCATTTATTTAGGATATGTTCAAGAAATCCTTGCCATTCCTTTTCTATTTCTTGAAGCCATTTTGTTTTTGCTTCTTCAAAGGATTCGTGAAAATGTTTCCAATCAGACTCTAGACGCAGCATCCAATTAGTACAGGCTATTCTTTTGAATTCTTCTGATTCTTGGATGGTTAATTGTCCAAGGCCTATTAAGGTAGGTGACACGAAGCCATTAGCGTTTGGTCTATTGTCTGCCGTCTACATAGGAAAAGGGAAGAAAATTATTGGGGGCGATTAATAGGTACTCCGGGAAAAAGAAATACCTTAATTTGTGCACATACATAGAGACGGAATATAGCTGTATCTCCAATTTGTTTAGAGCGCGGCTCATATTTTTAACTAACCACTGAAGCGGCATTTACAAAAATAGTACATGATAGGGCAAGTATCAGAATAGATAAACGCGAAAGGGAGTGAAGTGGTATTCTTGTGGCTCCTTGTGGATGTAGTTAGAGACGTTGATCTTTGTAAGGTCAAGGGGTTGTGGTTCCTCTTCAAGTTCATGTTCCATGCAACTGTTCTGACAAGGTAAAAAGTTTATCAGAGGAAAAAGGACATATGTCACTTATATGAAGTATGGGATGGTAATGCAATGAAGTAAACTATGTACAATATATATGCGTATATTGCAACACTTGTTGCTGTCGCAGTTTAACAACATTTCCGACTTCCCATAGGGGAGGACGGACAAGAATAATTTGCAGTAAAAATTACAGGATAATAGGAAGAAACAAATAGACTATGTGTGATTTTATTAGGAACAAAAGGAATCGGAGCGATCAATAGATGGAGAAAACTTGTGTGTTCAATGTTTGGAGAAATCCTGATCGGTGGGCACTGTGTACAATGCTTCGTGCATTGTTTCGAGCAAATTATATTTCATGACATACGATGAATTTTATTTAATTAGATTAATTCTACCGTAAATATTTAAAAATGGAGCAAGTATTCTATATTATGTATAACTGATGATATTGTTAGATTTAATTGCAGCGAGAATGATATATTACTTTTTTTTTATGGTTGTATGCGTAATTCTTGCTGAGCTTCCTGTTAGACGTGGCCGCAAGATTTGTTCCGTTTGCAGTATTATTATAATAAGGTAATTATTTGAATAAACTGAAAATATATCTTTTGCGAAAAATTGTCACATTTTAATTGTGGCGGTTGGAAAATTGAAGGCTTGAGATATTACACTTACGAGACGTGTGATGTGGAGCATTCCTTTTTTCAACCGTGCTTTTTATTTTTATTCAACTTAAAATTGGTAGAATAATGCATGTTTAATTAGAAGATGGAAAACTAACAAACAGGAAGAATGATCAAGGATATTTTATTAACACGGGTCAAATAAATATGCATATAGAAAAATATGCTGTTGTGTTGTTGTAGATAAAAGTTATTATAGGGAAAGATCGGAATGTAGGGGGTAAGTTCTGTAGGAAATCATTGCTTTTTCTTATATTGTTTTTTGTGCAGAATTATATTACATATTAAATAAAAGAATTTTGTGCTGGTTTATTCGGCATATAGTGCTAAGACGTTTCGAGTGTATATATTTTTTATAGGGTAATTTCTATAATACGATTGTGTTTGAATTAAAATGTGCAGTTTTTTTTGGGGGGGGCTTATATTTAGGTTGGGTTGGAAGAGTAAATATGTTTCTTGACCTTTAGAATCAGAATAAGGACAATGCGCGGGTAAGGGGATGAGGGTTATTTTATTAGGCTACGAAACCAGAAAGCAGCATTTAGCGCTTTCCTTAGACCCTATTAAAGAGGAATAACATAATAAAGCGGGTGTTCATATAATTTTATAGATAGGTGTTTTATTTTTCTAAATATTGCATACTATTATTAATATTTATAGGACGCAATATTTATTGTTGCAAGTGAGCGTATATATTTTAGAGGTTGAATTTTAACATAACTAAAATGTTACTTAAAATTTATGGCGATTCCTTTAACTGAAAAGTCGTAGAACACAAAATAACCGCTAGTACAATGTAATATTTCTGTAACGATTCAGAACTGAATAAAATACATGAACACGCAGTGTGTAATGTGGCAAATAGTGTTATGAATATATTTTGAACAACATTCAGGAAGTTGGAATTATGGAAAAAACAATATACTTATATGAACAAACATATACATATATACGTACACGCAGGAAGATAAACATCCCGTAGATTGGAATAAATTCACACCAAAGAGAGTAGCACGCACACCTCTATTTCCGGTTACGCGCTAATATAACCCCTTTTTTGCTCTAGAATGCGTATAAATATCATCTTACTCTTTACATGCGCACGTGTGTTGTTGTCCTCTTTTCTCAGAAAAGAATTTCCCCCTTGTTTTTATATTGGGGGAGCCCGGGGGGGGGTGGGGGGAGAAAGGCAATTCCACCAAATTTTAGTAGTATGGGCAGTTTTCCTTGCGTTCTATAAAGTGTTTACCTTCGTGGTTATAACGCATTTTTGTTGAAAACATATAGAGACGCGCCCCTGTATTTTATGTGTATCAGAAGTTAAATTATATGGTTGAAAATGCGTACTCGTATATACTTATATATTTTATTCACACACATTTTTTCTCTGGAGGCGTTAACTTAAATTACAAAATTGTCCATTGCTTAACGTGACATAATGTACCGCAGCTGCAACTTGAAGTATTTATTGAGCGAAATATACGTGTGTTCACTCCATGCAAATGTCATTAGGTAAATGTTGAACAATATATTCATCTACACCTTATTTATGTGCGTCGTCTACTGGAATTAAGATTATGTAGTGTAGAATGTTATCTAAATATATAAGTTTAATTTACAACAGAAAAATAAATATTACATTATCGCATATTTATAATAAAAAAAAACAAAAACATGAAGAATATAATCGTATGTATTAGGTACAGAATTCAGTACATGTGACTGAACCTATATAAAACGAAGATTCCTTCTATCACAAGGGAATACTATTCATGTATTAAGAAAAAAATGATTCATAGAAAGATATATATATCTTATGTACGCAAGAATTCATTATGTGGCTCACACTAAACAAAAATGTGAATTGTATACATGTGAATTTGGTTTTAATACAAATGTACTTTTGTGACAAATTGCATGTAATTACTTATTTTGCTTCTCATGAGAAAAAAATGTACTTTCATTGTGTGAACAAATGATTAATAAATTAATTATGTAGGTTAATTTATAATATTATATATAGCAACGGGAATTTAATTCCCGTATTACTATGATTGTGCATCACAAGGAGGATGGTCGTAGAACCGGAAAGTACAAATATCATCGTGTACATGAAATTGCTGTGTTATACTTAAAGTATGCGTACAATCATATTTTCTATATGGTCATTGCATTTGTACCATATTAACGCATTGTTCCATATATTACTAATACTCTTTAGGCAAATAATGTATTTTCCTAAGAAGGGCAATATTCCCTAAAATTTAGTGCGCCTATGCTGTCTTATAATCTGTAATGATTTCACAAGGCTAATGATGGTAACTGCCATCGAGAATATAAATACGTATGACATGAATGTGAAAGCAATACCATATAGGATGAAGAAGCCTGCAGATAATTCGGAAAGCACGCCTGTTATAATTATAATTGGTAATATTACAATTAATGGAATTGAGCACACTGTTGCAACCTTTCGTGTACCCCATTTTCTAACTGTGCTTCTTATTATTCTTATAAGATAATCTTTACTATCTTCTTCGTTTTCATTTATTCTATCAATCATATCACATATTTCTTCAAAAAAAGCATATAGTTTTCTGAATCGCTTCCCCTTAACATATTTATGAGTAAATTGTTTCTTATGAATTTCCGAATTAATTGAGTTTTCCGGCAACTCATCAACGAATATGGAATCATAACTGCCATATTTGGACATTCCCTTATCCATGTGTTTTAATAAAAAATCCTGTTGTTCTGTGTCGAAAAGTCCCGTTCTTTTTTCCTTCTCTGCCAATGACCTATATTCTGGAATGCATAAGGAATTCCTACCATTAGGGATATGTTTCAATCCCTTGTTCACGGAAGCCTAAATAGAAAAATAATATATAACGTCATCTATGTTTATACAGGAAAAACAAAAAATATTATTCATGCAGCACAATCATGTGTATGAAAAATATAGAATAAATAGAATGCTCTTATAGTACTTCATCATTGTATTTATGATATATCCAAATGAAAAATATGAGTGCAACACATTTAATAATAAGGTTCTTCCTTATATTGTATTTCATGGGTATAACACTAGAATATCTTTGTAGAAATTGTTGGATATATACATAAACCTTATTATGCAAGAACTTGTATAATTAGAGGAATATTGCAGAATTTTGCATTTTTTTATATATCACTATATACAAAATTTTATAACATAGGGTCTTAGTGTTAATTGAAGCAGAAGAAGATATATTATAAGAAGTCCAAGAATATTCTTCCTTCCATATTTTTCTCATATGATGTTACTTTAAAAAGCAAGAAGTTATATATTTGGAATTTGCATAAATGGATAGAATGTTATATTTACAATTATGGAATTAATTTTTTTATAGTGGAATAATTCAAATTAGTTTTATTTATTATCATTTTATAGGAAAAGGTGTATTAAAATTATTTCTATTTTGCAGCAGAAGAAAAGGAAGCACTTAAATTTGGCATACATGTGATTTATATATCATATATTGCAGGGGGATGAAAATTAAGATAAACCATCAGTAAACGAATTTGGCTATTTTATAGAACACATAATCTGCCTTTATACATTATGGTTTGTTAAGCAAAGGGGTATAATTGTTTTATAGCGGAACTTGCTTTTATAATTGCAAAAAGCACAAGAGAATTATTTTTTTAAAAAGGAATAATTTTATTAAAATACATCATATTATGCTCTTACAAATATTTAACCATATGAAGGATTAAGCGTATAAAATAGTATTAAGTTTTTTATATAGCAAGCACCCGAAATATATTATGTGAAGAATATTAGTGCATATTTTTTCCAAGTAGTATGATTTTTATAACAATGTTCCATGAGTTATATATTTTTGCTTATTAATTTATTGCTCTTAAGAATGTTTGAGTTAACATTAAGAAATATAGCTTCGTATATAATATAGTTCCA